CCCGACGAAGGGAAAACCAATTCTGCAGGGAGACCTACCTCGGCACTTGTGCAGGTGAAACCAAAGGGAAGATATGCTTCATTATATTTTATAGTCTTTGGCTTAGAATGAAGTTGGTTTGGAAACATATTCAGCGATGCTTCACCTCCTGCTTTGCGTTTGTGTGGGAGCCCTGTGCTAGCAGTGTCCAAGCGTTTTGTTTTGTTTTTTTCCCCTTTTCATACCGCGCCCCCCTGCAATGGCTCAGGGCCCCCCCTATGGGGCGGGCTCCACACTTTGGGAAGCTCTGCTGAAAGAGAAGGCATCAAATGTGTCTGGTATGACCTGAAGTCAGAACATGAGATGGAGGTGGTTTGCAAACTGTTTATGCAGCAATGATGGCCAGACTTAAGCAACTTTTGCTTTTGTGGCTGAACTTTACTTCATCATTGCCAAAACAGATGCTATGATTACGATTTGCAAAGTAACAAAAAAATCTGATCCTAAACTAGCAAATCTGGGTAGGTTTTATTACAGTTTTTTTGCTGTTATTGTTGTAAGTGACAGCAGAAGTTTTCTTAGATTACACTTTCCTCCCTTAAAAAAACATGCTGAGTTTTTCAGATTTTTTTTCTAACTATAGTTTTCCTTTATTTGGCGAAATTAAACTCAGGTGTGCCCTCAGACACATTTTCTAGTGACAATAACCACCTCTTGCTAGGCCTAAAAATACAATTTCCATGTTCACGCATCATCTATGAGGTCTAAAACTACTTTCCAATGGAAAACGGTTGGCTTTGTTCATAGATGATGGGCAGCAGGAGCGGGAGATGAGGAATAGTGTGGCAAATTGATTGGAAAGCATGAACTGGCAAACAGCATTGGCAGGGAGGTAAGGTGGCTGCTCACAGAGTTAAGAAGATGGAATGGAAAGGCAGGTTGGAGGTGAGAAAGCAGCTAAGCAGTGGGGTGTTTTTTCCCCTCTTTTTCTTTTTTTTTGAACTGACTCACCATCTTTGGCAGGTTGGATCTTGGAGCCCTTGTGCTTCCAAATAATAGTGGGTGGTGGTGAACTGACAACATCACAGACTATGTCAGCATCATCACCCTCGATGAACTCCTGCGGGTTGGGAGCGCTCTTGAACGTGATCTTTTCTGTGAGGGAATGCACATATTACACATTTTTATATGTATTAACACAGAAAGTGACATTTGTAAGGGTGAAAACTTACACACATACACAATTTCACTGGTTCACTTTGGTGTTTATATTACACATACCCAAATTTCCAATAATTAGGTCAGTATATGTGAAATAATCCCCATGAGTCTAAAACTTCAGAGTGCTCAGTTTCCAGTATGTTATAGTTCAGTTCTTACTATGGTCATTTCACACAGCCCTGGCTGGGAGAACAGCAACTCCTCACACCTGCTGTTTAAATCTTCTGTTTATGAGAGGGGCAGCCAGTCGGAAGAAAGCTGGCTTAAAGGGACGGTGCTTAAACGGCTGGTTTCATACAGTGGATAAAATCACCAAAGTCCAGCTTGCCAAGCTAGACTGAGAATAACAGTATGGAGCTGGAAATCAGGTTACCTTTAATAATATAAACACTGGCTCTCTCTCTCTCTTTGAAATGCATTACTCAAAGAGAGCGTTCATAGTGGCTGAGTTACTACAGTTTATGCAGTAATGTTGACTACCAACATGTGAAAAAGTAACACTCTTCACTGGTAAAGTCTGTAAAAACTGCAAAACCAGGTCATACTTACGGAAGATCTTTACTTGGACAGTGGCCTGGGCTTCCTTGTCTCCATCCTTTGCCACACACTTGTAGATGCCAGCACTGTCCACGGTGGCGTGGTATATGGTGAGAGTCGACGTGGCTTCATCACTGCGGCTCACAAAAATGTCGGCCCTGTTGGGAAGGATCTTCTCACCGCTGGGGGCGTACCAGTCTATGTCTTTAGCATCTCCTACCACTGAAAGTAACAAAGTAAATAATGAGATAGAAAAGCAAAACTTTTTTTTTTAAAAGAATTTCACAAGTGGCCTGTAAATAATAGTCAGAACCTATAGGATTGCAACTGAAATCTGTTATCTGTTATCTTGTTTGGTGCTTTTGATGTTTTGCATTAGCTTAGATATGCCTCCCGCTTTGCAAGAAAAGATATGACTCTGAGCATGAACTTGTAGAGGATGCCACGGGCCTGTTACATCACATTACAAAGCTAGCGTGTGCATCTTAATTTACATTTAAACTTAATTTACTGCAACGATCACTGCGTCACTGACAGCAGTCGAGGGGAAGAACTGTCATCGCTGGCATTCATATTCTTCACATCTGTTCATGTTGGAATTAAGCAGTTGTAGTTCCTTATTTCCCTGATGAGTGCATATGTGGAGCTGATTAAGGTTTGAGCTAGACTTTGTTCTCATTAGAGAATGTGAATAAAAATTGTTAAAAATGAATCGTAATTTGAACAGAATATAGCAAAACAAAATTAAGAATTCTTGGTTTGAAGATGGTTTGGAAGCATTATTGTGAAATCACAATCTGTTTTCATCCAGTGTATGTTATGTAAACCCAAAGACTAAACAGACGCAGCAAAACAGAAAAAGGGAGATATGAATTATTTCTGTTTCCTCAGTAGGATTATTCAGTAGGAGGAAACTTTGACTAAAAGAAAAAATCAAACAACGTTTCAACATTATTCATCTTTTTATAAACAGTAGTACAAGGCAGAGGCAGTTTTTTGTTTCCCTGAAAATTATTAATACTATCTCTTCTCTCGAGGAGCACAAAGAGCTCTAAATGTATTTTGACACCCTTTTCAAACGGAGGAATTCGAGTTCAAACGAATGCAAAAATTTCTTCATAGAACAAAGAATGAAATCACTTAGCACTTAATGTCAAGGCTTCATATTCCACACACAGACACCCATCTTTGCTTTTAGGGCTTCATTTTTACGGAAACATTCTGCTAAAAGCAGTGAAACAACAGGTGATTAGTGGGAGAGAAGTGGTTATTTTTTTCAAAAAGAAAAAAAAAAACCTTGATTGCATGTAGTATGCAAAAGAAAATTTTGACTGAACTTTGTGTGAAACTGTGAAAAACAATCCACCACTACTGCTTCCATAGGAATTAAGAGGGTATGTAGCTGCCATGTGCTGAAAATCAAATAGACTTGTTGCCTTGGATATGTGCAAGTGTGTCACGTTGCTGCTCTGGAGCATTCAGCTGTGAGTTAACACATTGCCATGATATTCCCAGGAACAGACATCTCAGCAAATTCACCCCAAGATCAGACCGTGCAATGCTCAGAGAAACTGCATCTCGGATTCAGCAGGTCTCAGCCAACATAAGAAATATTAAAGTTCATGACAGTACAAGTATGGGATGTTTGGAAGTGTTCTTTGGAGAACTGAGAAGTGGAGATGCTTTGACATAATGCACCACAGTTTGCAAAAAGCAAATACAGCTTATCAGCACAAACACCTCAGAACAACTGTCGAGAGACAAAGTCATGTAGAAAATGATTATTTCAAGAAGGGCTGCTCAATTAATCAAATTGTAATCACGATTACGATCTGGGCTTTCAACGATCATTAGAAATGACTGAGCCGATTATTAGCCCCTCCCTCGTGCTTTACTCTCGCGCTGCTCCTTGAGGCAAATCGAGCGCACCTCTCTGCATTTCGAACACGTGTCACAACAATTAAGAGCAGCGGTCCCCAACTTTTTTTTGCGCCACGGACCGGTTTTTGTCGCGGATAAATACAACAAAATAAAACTAGTACCGGTACCGAAAAAAAGAAAATTTATTCATAACACACGTGAAAAGACCCAGGGAAACCGAGTAAACGGTAAAAATGATAACAAAATAACGCTGAAAACCGATAAAAACCCTGAAAATTATACATTTCACACCTGAGCCTCAACTCTCGCGGCCCGGTACCAAATGAGTCACGGACCGGTACCGGTCCAAGGCCCGGGGGTTGGGGACCGCTGATTAAGAGGACCTGAGGGAAGCTCGGAAAGCTAAGCAGAAGTTATTTGGAGAGGAGAGTGACTGCCGTTGGTTGAAAAGAGAGGTAAAAAAAAAAAACTTCAGTGGTGTGGAAACATTATGTGTTCGCGGAGTCAGACGTGGATCAAGTAGACACAGTGTGTAAACTTTGCTACAGTGTCGTAGCTGCACCACAGAGCAACACTGCAAAGTTCACTAAACAGATGTTTACATTTTTCATTTATTTCTTATATTACAAACATTTTCACTGTTATCAGTATTTGCACACTATTTTATATTATTTTTTGACAATCTTTAAAGTCATTATTCAACACATTGTTATTGTTAAATAAATATCGTCAAATAATCGAGATCTCAAATTCAGTGAAAATAATCGTGATTATAATTTTTGCCATAATCGAGCAGCCCTAATTTCAAGTTAGTCCGACTACAGGTGGTTTAATAAACTATTGACTCATAAGTCCTATGAAGGTAGCTGTGCAGTCTTTTGAATTTTCTATTTCAAATTCAAGAAAATGCAATGCATTCATTATCCAGCATGATTGTAACTCACATCAACGGGATAACGAGAGAGATGCTTTGAAACTTTTTATACTGGACGACCCCTCGTAAGGGCTGTGGGCTGTGGGCATGCTTTTAATTCAGTCCCCATCAGCTTTGTTTTGTAGTGGAGAAGTAACCTGGGTTAATAAGACCAAATGAATGAATAATCTCTACTCAGAAAATTAGGACGTTTTTTAAATGTAAGAAGATGTTCTATAATGGCAGACTGCAGATCTGTCTTTTGTAAGCAGCATCTGTATCACAGACAGGCTGACAAATGCACAGAGAGAATGTAAGACCTCTGTCTCATTATCTTCTCATACAGCACCTCTCTCCCACCTCTTCTATGTCTTATTTCTTACATGACTCAGATCTCATCATCCCACCACCTCCACAGAATAAACTCGTCAATTTATCCTTGTGATCTTTTTTTTTTTTCCTCCACCAGTACACCAATCTCATTATTTAACCTAACTTGTATTACTTTCATCAAATTACCCCAATAAATACTGCCAACGCTAGATGAGGTGACATTTGCATCAAGCTGCGTTAAATGAGGGATGTAGGAAGATCACTCTTACCTTCGCAGATGAAAAATTTGGAATCTCCTACGCTGATCTCCCCTTGTGGTGGAGTAATTTCCACCTGAATGGCAGCTGGGCGAAGAAAAAAGAAGACAGGACAAAATATAAATTAGTCTCTGGTTCAATCGAAAGGAACGGTGACACGGGGCTGAGACACAATAAGGCAAGACTCAAAGTGAAATGGCCATGCCTGCTCAAAGGAACAACCATGTTCAGGCAAACACTTTGAAACTCTGGGATGTAATTTCTATGCTCACTAGAGTGCAACATCTCAATGTGCAAATGTGTTTGAGTTTAAAGTTGCACCCACAAAGCAAAGGAACTCACAGTTAAGAAGAAATAATATGCATCTTTTGTCGCGTATGTATTATTTTGCACCATGTTGTGAACTGAAATCTGCACTGCTGGAATTTGCTTTCCCTTATTTATAGTTTGCGATTTACCCCAAGGAAGCAAAACTGCACCTTTTGCTACCAACACTTCCATTTTTTTGTTAGTGTGTATCTAATTTCCTCTCTGACACTTGACACTCAAAGCACAAAGCTGGCAGCTGAAGGCAGCATAAAAGAAAAAGTAGCAGAGTGAAAGACAAACTGAACTCTTAAAGAAGGACAAATCCTAACTAAATTAGGCGAGACGCGGACTTAACATTTGTTTGCTCACCTTATAAAAACGACCTAACTAAGCCACTCCGAAGCATTCTTGCATCCCGACTTCTGTTTACAGACGCTTAAGAATACATAATACCATAAAGGCTCTAATGCGCATCTTCTCCCAGCATCAGCTAAAGCTACAGTGACAGAGATGACATTTAAAAAGAGAAGAGAGAAACGCTTGCGTGCACCCTAACAAATTTGAATTGATTTTCAAAGGCTTGATCAGCTAATCCTAACTCGCCAGTGCTCCACTGTACTACAAGGGATCTGATGACTTTTTAGAGTGACACGGTTTAATATATGACTCCTATCTTCAATGATATGTGGCGCCGGACTGAAGCAAAGCCTGTGAAGTAGAAATACCACAGAATCGTGATCGGAGCTTGACAGAGAAGTCCCGCGGAGCCTCCAGCATGTCGCCACTTCACACAAATGAGTGAGTCGGTCTCAGCTCAATTCTCACCAGGACATTCACGGGAATGGTTTGCGAGCACTTGCCATTCATAGACAGGTAGCCAACTATCATCACAGCACAATGTGGCATTGTTTCGTAATGCTACAGTTTCGCCATTGCAGAAAAACCTGCATGACTAAGAAGATAATGTCACATCAAAGACCTTTGTTGCTCTTTCTCTCCTACACACATTTTTATGTGTAAAGGCATCATCATTGTGGTGTGAAGCTTTACCTCAGCCATAATTCTGGAGCGAGGAGAGTGAATACCGCATCCAGACACACAATGTGCTTTTGTGTTTAGAAGCATTTTGAAACCAATATGGTTCTCAGTGCTTTGGCCAACCGTATTTTCTTCTCCTTCTTTTTTTATGCTTGACTAAAACATTTCAGGAATGCTGTTAAGGGTCAAAAATGTCCCTTGATTATATTTACACACATTGTAAGACACTGTGAAATGCATGGTCCACATGAGCAGTGCAAAGCCACAAATAAGAACAGCTAAATTATTAGGTACACCTGTTTGCAAATCAGCCAATCACATGGCAGCAACTCGACGCATTTAGGCAATGCTGTAGATGAGATAGATCGATAGAGAGGTACTGGCATAACTATGCTACTCGTCAACAAAATGCACACTGGTTCTTAAATTGAACCGGAAACAAATGCTGCAATCATCACGGTCAAGGACAGTCATAAGTATTGATTTCATACACGTGTTCAAAGTGTGAATAATATTCCCTTTATGCCTTGGTCAAGAAGTCACACAAATATTGATTTGCAGTAAAACACCGCATCTGCCACATGAATGAACCAGCCTTTGTTCCAAGCCAGCACGCAGGCTGCAGAGGCATGAAAAACCACTGCCCCACAGTATGTTTGCTTTTAGAGGCTGGAGGTAGATACAAAGACAACAACGTATCCAGTTCCTTCTCTCATCTAGTACGATCCCAGATACCATGCTATACCCATGCCTCCTAAGACTAAAACCACTGGCCCAAAACCAACTGATCATATCTGCAACGCTAAAGACAACAAAAAGGAGTTCAGGCGGTGTGGGAAAGATAGCTATTCCCAGATCCACTTTCCCAGTCTGTGCGTCTACATGGGCACTCGTGCAGTATCTCCAGGATGGAGTGGCGGCTGAAAGTGTCGAGTGCGACTGTTTCTTTGATGAGAGCCGATCATGGAAGTTAAAAATAAAGATTTAGTAAAGGTAAGCCATCAGGCTTAATCACTGCACAAATGTGAGTTATGACATGAGATCGACTGAGAGGAAATTGCACTTTCAAAAGTGGGTACCAGTAAGTACACACCAAACACTTTGCGCTGCACACAGCAGCACAAAGATTTGCTGATCATTTGTCTCACTTGTCATTTGCAGCATTGTAAAGAATCTCCCCTGGCCCACTATTGTTGTCAAAGACACAAACATAAAGCTGCTGACAAACTAACTACAAAGTGAATTATTTCTCTTTGTAGCAGTTCGTACCTGAGATTATTCATATTCATCTCAACAGCATCAAAATATAAGGCAGAAGCTGGATATTCCATGAGAGCCAGCTCTGAGAATCAATCAAATCAGAATCGAAATCAAAACTTGATTACCCCGGTGCCAGATGGGTGATGTTAAGCTTCTGTTCAGAGTAATAAAAAAGCAGCGCAGCCCTGCTTCAGTCACGAATCTACTGGCAAAGAAATTCAAGTGAGGGGGACGACTCCAGGTGTGATCTATAGTACACAAAACTAACTGTGAAAGAATTGAAACGTGTTATTTAAACAAACAAAAATAAAAAGGTGTGATTTTGAAGAGCTGCTTTTTTAAAGATCTTGTTTTTGAAAGGTGTAATGAGTTTTCAGATAGGGATTTTGGTTGGATGCGGTTCCTAGATTAAACCGTTTTGCAAGGATCAAAAGATTACACAAGTAACGTAATGCTAAATCAATGCTGGGGTGAGACAAATGCAAAGCACACCCAGAACACTCAAAAGCATCTGATTGCTGCAATTTGGGCTCAAATTAAATGCTCCTGGGAATTTTATTTTAACTGCATGTGCAATTTGCACTTAGTGTACATCTGATGATATCATCCAGATGCCCTAAGACTGTAAAAACATAAAAGATATTCTTCATAAAAAACTTTAATGTTAAAATAATCCAACATTAGCTTCCATTACATTTATGGGCACAATAGATAATAATTTAGTGGCACAAGATAGCATTACACAAGGTAAAAAAAACAAAGAAATCTGCCTCACGTATCTCACAGCTAAAAATACAGCATGCAGCATAAAAGCAAAAGTGATGCGTTGTAGATTAAAAGCAAGAAAAGAAAGAAGTGCTCGGTTTTGTGAGGAGAGAGCTCAGATAAAGGATGAAGCTATCTTTGCCCTAACATGCTCTCTCATGACACCAATCTAATACCCATCCTCTAAGCCTGTCCCTCACTTCCAGTCCTCTAAAGACTCATAAACCTCTCTGTCTACTCTGAAGAGTCTCCCTTTAGTCTTCCTTCGACTCCTAACGCACATGCACAATAACCACATCACCTTGCTTTTTAATAAACAGAATTTACTGTCACTGCAACCACATGTTTTCACAGAGATAAAAGTATGCTTAAGGTAAGCTGGGCCGAAACAAAAATGTCTATAAATGAATGTAAATTTAAACTGAAAAACAGAAACACTGATGGCAGAAAGATGCTGTATAATTTTCACAGTTGCAATCAGATGCACTGCAGCATGCACACACGTCTTCCATTCTAGCAACAGTTTTTTATCTCGGAGCTAAATTAAGCATCGTGTCTCTTTTTAGAGAAGCATGTTGTAGCTAATGAGCAGACCAGAGAAGTTAGGGGCTTAACTTCAGTCAGCCTTAAGTAACGAAAATGAGGACTTTTTCCAAAAGTCTAAAAACTTTAAGTTGTCCAGATGGACAAGTTTAGAAAAGCTGCTATTTAGCTTTTTGTTACAGATGTATGGCTAGGCTGGACCTTCCTCATTGTGGAGAATCTGAGCAATAGTTTAAAGCTCATCTACTTCAGTCCAATATTAATAGTTTACTGAAGTCTGTTGCTAAACGATTTGTTAGGCCAGTCACCCTGAACATGTACTACTAAGCGAACTAGCTCACTTAAGTGCTGTAGAAACACCAGGTAAATGTTTTTATCCGTTTCTGATTCATGTCATGTATTTCTATTACAACTGTGACTGTCCTACTAACAAATCAGATTCTATGTATCGATTGCAACGGCTGTATTTTAGTTTTACAGCTTTTTTATATGTTCGATTTCTTTGTTTCTCTTGCACAAACAGGAAAATAACAACAAAAATACAACATTTCTGCACCGATGGCCAAATTGCTGTTTTAAATATTTGTTAGAATTTTACAGTTTGTGCACAGGTGGTGAATAACTCACTTTACATCACCCACAGCCTAGCAGCTCAGCTTCGACCTCTGAGTTTGCATAAATAAAATTACCCCATCTCTCTTTCTATTCTACCGTATCCAACTGTTTAGCCACACATGGCAGCTTCCACACTCAAACCTCAGTGCTCATGTTGCAGGTTGCTCCCTTGTCCTGGACCACACATGAGGGCTACAGTATTTATCCACCTTTTCTTTAGCAACATACACTTCCACACATAGACAAATGCCCATTCATGCATGAACAGCTTGCCAACCGTGCTGACCACTTATGCTATTAATTTGACAAAGTAAGAAAAGAAGTTAGATGGAAGAGCCCATTTAAAGCTACTTATGGTAAGCTCAGAGGCGAGATTAGTAATAGTGTATTAATCTACTGCTAAGCTGTCCATACTTTGAAGCAAATATGCCTGTGAGGCTTTAGTAACAATGACCAAAACTAAAATGGCAGTGCTGACTGTTCTCTAGCAAGAGGATTATGGAGTTTACAGCCTGCTGCTGGTAAACATTCTTTCAGCATCTGAACCACAGAGTTCC